TCTTACCATAAATGCTGGTGTTCCGCAAGGATGAATTCTACTCCATATCAACGATTTGTTGGAAGCAACTTCATGTCCGGTATACAGCTTCGCAGATGATATTACCCTCCATACCGCCTTCTCTTCCAGGGCTCCAATACCAGCCAGGCAAATCAGAAACGAACGAGGGAGAAATGTTGACAACATAAATATGGACTTGGCAACCATTCTCGAATGGGGATACAATAACTTGGTAGATTTCAATGCAAACAAAACACAAGCATGCCTTTTCTCTAGAAAAGCCGATCTCACTGTGCCCAACATAATCTTGTCAGGAGTAACCATACCTTTGAAGACATCCATTTCGATGCTTGGTATCACCATCGTATCACTATCAGCAATAACCTCTCTTGGGAAAATCACGTGAGATCAATTGCTAAAAGTGCATCCCAAAAACTTTGTTTTCTGTTTCGGGCCAGGAGCTATTTCACTTCCAGTCAGCTGCTTATGATCTATAAGGCACAGATCCGACCTGCCCTGGAATACTGTTCCCATATATTTAGAGTGGAGCACCCAAACATACCCTGAAACTGTTGGATTCTGTCCAAAAAAGGGCAATTCGTCTCGTGAGTGATGCATCGCTCACAAACTCACTCACTTCTCTGGAACACCGTAGAAAAGTTGGCGATCTGGCTCTTTTTAATATATATTCTCATGGACGATGCTCTTCTGAAATATCAACAATTGTTCCTCCCTTGACAGTCCCCGCGAGATTAACCCGTCGAGTTGAGGCTTCGCACCCCTCACTTTGGAGACCTGCAGAACATCTTTTTCCAAAGACTCGTTCATCCAACGAACAGTGAGGCTCTGGAATACATTGCCAAGGGAGGTGTTCCCCGAGGCATATAACCTCCAGAAATTCAAGAATAACACCAATTCCTACTTCATTTCCCTTGGTTCTCACGATGTTCTCTGAACATTACAGGATATCCCTTTTCGTGTGAACCATGCAGAACATAAAAAAAATATCAGAGATGTCTATCCCTCCCATATCTATTTCGAAAAAACTTTCATTTGTAGAGCAGAAAAGAAATCTTACAGTCAACTCCACGAAAACTGTACTTTATTCAGAATTGAGTGAACATGTTTCGAAGCTTCAAATCTTCATCACCAAAAGTTTTGTTATAGGAACGACAAAATGCCAAAAGTCAGGCAAAACATTTAATTAATGGAAAACAAAGGAAACTTCACCTGTTCTGGGGAAACATTATTTAACAAAATAACAATTTACATAAAATATACTAAAATATTACAAAATGTATAAAAAGGGGACCGCAAATGGATGCGGATCACCTTCCAATCGCGGTACCCTTTTAATACATTTCCTAATATTTTAGTATATGTAAATTGTTATTTTGTTCCTTCAACCTGTGAAATAATTGTTCCCCCGAACAGGTGAGGTTTTCTTTGACTTTTATAATTTGAATGTTTTGCTTGACGTAGCTTTTTGTCTGTCTGATTGTAGTTCATCCTATAACAAAACTTTTGCTGTATCATCAGCTTCGAAACATGTTCCCCCAATTCTGAATGAAGTGCAGTTTTGATTGAGTTGACTGTAATATTTTATTCCTGCTCACTGCAATAAGATGGATCGACTCAGATGGTGTTTCATTTCATCTAATATCGATATCGTTCATCGATTCCTAATAAAAAAAGTTTTTTAAAAATGCACATTTGAAACTTTTTGTTTTCATTATAGGTAAGTAACATTTCCAAAGCTTTGAGTTTGTCATAATCCTTCTGAGTCCTCAAACTCTCCCTGTCAAGTTCAAAAACATAAATTTTCCTTTAAAAGTGTCCAATTCGGCCCACCCTGTAACGCCCTGTAATTAACTTACCTTACCTTAGAGAGCGTATACCTCCAAAAGACGGGTATATTCTAATCGCAATTCTAATGTTGGTAATAGTTGAATTATTGTGGTTCAATTTAATGCCACTTAGATGTTGCCAAATTTCGCATCCTTGCTATATTTGATTTTTTACTGGTGTTGGGTATTCTGTGGCTTAGGTATTTAGTATATTAAAATAATCGGATTGACCTAATATATTGAATATTGTTATCTTGATAGGTAACTTTTTTCAAAATATAGATTAAACATTATACATGATAATTTATTAGTTTGTATTGTATTTTAGTTTGAATCGAGTATACAGTAAACCTCGCAGTAAACTCTAATATAGGTATACCCACCTGATAGAAAATAATTATTCATTAGTCATTAGTCACAGTCATATAGTCATTTGAAATACTTCCAATTACACACATCAGTACATTACAGACTAATCATTTGAGTAAAAATACAAACAAATAACTAACAAATAAATAATATACAGTGTCATTCATAAAGTCGGCATCATATGGGAAACACTTTTATTAATGACTTATTTTGAAATTCGAGTTGGACGTTAAGTTTTGCTTCAGGAAAGATGGAAAATGGCCTACTCAATCGGGGTCACGTGACTTTCGCTACATGTCAAAAGTGACATTTTTTCAAATTAATCGCTGAAAGTAGGCTTATCTGTTCGAATATCGAAAATCTTTACTTGAAAAAGTTGTTTCTATTCAAATTTCACATTTGTGACTCGGATTTCATCTTTTTATCACATTTTTTAGATTTCGATATTTTTTGAAAATTTTCGAAATTTCTGTAATATTAAAGAAATTATAAATTCGATGAAACTACTTCATACCAGTAGCTTCATCGTGCTACTAACTTTCAATTACTAATTATCACTAATTATCGCCAAAAATATGATTTCTTCAGAAAATGATAATTTCCGCTTCAAAATTCTGTTATGTTTGATGCAAACATAACATCAAAATTCTGTTATGTTCGAGTCAATCATTTATCATCAAATTCGAGGAGCATGTGTAAAATTGAAATAAAAACAACTTTTTGAGAGATAATTGAGAAAATTGTCGACTTTCGTTTTCTGGTGCTAAAACCCTTTCATGTCGGGAAATAGTAAAAACTATTAAGTACACATATTATTTTTCCTTCTACATTCGAATGTTATTTTTTCTTGTATTAATATCAGATTTTTGATACAACGTTTCGTTCATCCAAGGCCACCCTCAACTTGTGAGAGATTGCAATAGTGAGACATCGAAATGTGGATCACCCTGTATTTCGTGTTAGTCAGTAGTTTTGGCACATAAGTATACAAATTGAACCTCAGTGACATCTGTTCGATTGCGAAGTTCCTGGTTTTAACATTCGAATAGATATTTCAGTGAGGAAAAAGATGAATGCATATACTATACCTTCATATTATTGTAGTAGTAGTATATAATATAGTGGCCATGAAGTAACCTTTCCTCTTAGGGCCCGACCCACACATCTGTGACATGACATCTCTGAGATGTTGCGATGAAGAAACACTGCGATATTACGAATGTTACATCGCTGCAATAAACAGAAGCAAGACACATCTGCGACATGACATCTCTGAGATGTCGCGATGAGACAACACTGCGATATCACGAATGTTTCATCATTGCGATGTATATGGAAGCAAATACATCTGCGACCTGACATCTCTGAGATGTCGTGATGGGGCAACACTGCGATATCACGAATGTTCCATCATTGCGATGTACAGAAGCAAAAACATCTGCGACATGACATCTCTAGGATGTCAGGATGAGGCAACAATGCGATATCAAGAATGTTGCATCGTTGCAATGTACATACAAGGAAGCTTCCATGCGAGAATTTTTCAAAAATTTGTTTTTTAGATTCTTGTTCGGTGACAAACAATACATGTATATACGTTACACTCAAGAAGTGAACTAAATTCGAAAACATTCGTTACATTGCTATAAAACTTTTCTTGGTTTGCTTATATCTCGCCGCCACGCATTCTGATAGGGCTGAAAAGACGATTGAATGGACAGGAGACCCGAAGGACCACCAACCAACCATCAGTCACAACAACACAATCAATTTAAGATTTCATCAGAAGTCAGTGGCGCATTATTATCACACCAAATTTGAGATTTTGTTTTTGTCTAACTGCTATATCATCTCGCATTAAATCGAAGTTATATCGCAAAAACACATCGCTTTTCTATCACCAATAACTAATCGCAATTACATTGAAAAAATATTTTGCTGTTATATCGCAGCGACGTCGCATGTATGAAACTTGAGTGGGACAAAATAACATCCTTCTGATATCGCAACGACGTCTATGCACATAGAATGCGATATCGCATGTCACAATTGTTTAATCGCTGTGATATTTTTGTGATGTAACTGTGTTTGCTAGGTAGTAACTTTTGAACGACTGGGATTTTTTTTTTGTTCAATGATAGAGGGCAAGTGCTATAGGTATATCTTGATTCCGATAGCAAATGTGAATCTTTCAAATTGGCTTCAATGCGTTATATGGGAAGATTTTTTTTTATGGAATTGGAGGTCGATTGATACCTCATTCGAAAAGTTTCAGACAAAAATAAAAAAATTCTCATTATTAACAAACTGGCGTATAATGTTTGAACTTTCGATTTTCAAATGGAACATCCTGTATTTCATTCCATAATCGGTTTGAGATTATTTTATTGAATTCAACAATACCTGGTTTAATTGGGTTATTCCAAGAGTTCCAAACGATATTCACGTTTAAAGTTTCCATAAGCTCAATGGATGTGACTACACAATACCGAAGCTCCTTTTTGTCTGTCGCATTCATTGTCACTTTATGGACATTTATTTCTACTTGCCAATATTCAATCACTGAACAATGTATAGTCCAGTGGGATAATAAGTTATATATATTCTAATATTCTTGACCATGTTTGACTGACCAAGATTTGGCCATCCATGATGTAGGTAAAATTGGATACTCTTATCAAATCTGGCAACGTTGCGTATGGCTTACCAACTTCCTCTGGTCGACGACGACGCACTACGCAGCCGCAGTAGCAGCACTCGAACCGAACAAACAGAACTAACTGTCATTCTCGAGGCCAGAGCAGCCAACGACGGCTGTCCAAACATCGCAGTGACTAAAAATCTGAACCGGTCCAAAGAAACAGAAAAAACCGTTTTCGTCAACTTCAGTATTTGTATTTGTCATCCGAGTGTCCCGAGTGCATAACCGATGCCTATTTGTTCATTTTGCAACGATAGATGTGATTTCCTTTGTGATCAATAGTTGTTTTTTTGTGTGAGTGCGTTTTTTTCGTTCGTTTACATTGTTTCGTAAACCATGGCCGACACAGATGCGAAGGATCGTTTCGATCCGGAACTGAAATACTTGTGTGTGGACAGGAACAATTACAATGATCCGGCCACACAGGCGGAATGGACTCAAAAAAGACTGGTGTGGGTGCCCCACGAGGCGCAGGGCTTCGTCGCGGCCAGCATAAAGGGCGAAAAGGGGGACGAGGTGGAAGTCGAGCTTCAGGAGACCGGCAAGAGGACGACCGTGCCGAAAGATGACATCCAAAAGATGAATCCGCCGAAATTCGACAAGGTCGAGGACATGGCCGAGCTCACCTGTCTCAACGAGGCTTGTGTCTTGCACAACCTCAAAGACAGATACTATTCTGGCCTTATTTATGTGAGTACAGTCTTGTTTTTGTTATTCGATCTTCCAAATTCCAAAGTTGGGAGGAATAGGTATAATCTTGAAAAATAGAAACCCTTTCCCACATACCTAGCTGTCAAGTTATCTCAATTAATGAGGTTAGGTTTTCTACATACACATGACAGAGATCATGACAGTAGTTGCTCTGCTACAGTGCTAGAATATTATTTTTTCTAGGCTATAACACAAAATTGCACTTGTTTTACCATGTTTGATAAATTAATGAGGTGATATTTTGTATGTCATCAATTTTATTTTCCTTTCTGATATCACAAATGACTTTCCTGACAAATTTCAAGCAATGACAGCTTTGTCTAGTAGTTGAAGAAATAAAAAATTACGCTGTTATCTTTTACAGCCGTAGAAAAAGTATAGTGTATAACTCGCAAGGAATGTTAATTTCCCACTCCTGTGGTTGCAGCATGAGCCATAGACTCATGGGAAATGAGTATCTGACAATCATTTCCTGCTGTTTGAACAATATACCTATTATACTATTCTCATCTCGGATTTTCATTCATCAGATCGAACAGAATCAGATAATAACCGGAGATAATAACTGACGGCTGGACACTATTTTTTATTATATTGTGCTAATTCTTAGTAGGTAATCTGTTATTAAATGTCAAGATGGGTAAAAATGTTGATTATGATAAGTACAGATACCTGTCTAATCACCTGTAACCTGTAAGTGAATACTCTTCCAGGTAGGTAAATATGATTAAACCAGGGATTAAACCAACTATAGATACCTACATATACCTATTGAGACATGAAACCATGAAACAAAATTATTGGCTGTGAGTTGTCTAGAATCCTACATCTCGACCTACGACCTACATTGAGTCAATATTCAATATCAATCCTAAATTATAACAATCAAAGGGTGTTTCCTTCTCCCCTCGGCCCCTCGCCTGTTTCAAACAAACAATTCACGGATTTTCCAATTTTTTGTTCTGCATAATTTAAGGCTAATAATTCATTACCCTATTGCCGAATTTATTACTCTTCGATTTATGCAAAAGCTAGCAGAACCACTTCATAAGTAATAGTTCAATCACAAAACTAATTATACCATAAACCATAATTTGAGGCTCTCATCCTAACCTGATGCCGATTTTTTCGCACATTATGTAAAAAAAATCATTAAGCTTGCAGAACCAAATCTCAAATAGAAAGAATATAAGAATATTGAGTACACCATAATTTAAGGCTCTTCATCTATTATAGATTTTTTTTTTGTTAATCATTTTCTGCAAACATTTTCAAAATTCAAAACATCAGAAAAAGTTCATGAAATGAATTATACCATAATTTGAGGCTAATTGAAGGCTCTTATCCTATCCTACTGCCGATTTTTTCGCACATTGTTTTATAATCATGGGTATTAAGCTAGCAGAACCAAATCTAAAATATTGAGTACACCATGATTTAAGGCTATTTTTTTCCACTAGACATGTTCTTCGGAAATCTCTGCTATCATCCCTTCACTAGCAATACCAGTCAGACGAACTAGACAAGCCCAGTCAGCACATCCTTTCGTTGTCAACCTCGAAAGATGTCGAACAGCACTTTATCAAAACTCCTCTATCCATAGAACGGCTAGGCTCTGGAATTTATTGCCTGAGGAAGTATTCCCAACAACATAAATATATAATCTCCAGAAGTTCAAACAAAATTCCAATACCTGTCCTTATCCTCGCAAGGAACGCACGATGTTCTATGAACATTATAGGGATTTCCTTTCAAGCGCTCCAAGCGATAAAAAAAACGAGTGATAAACCAATAACAAAACAAAAGAAGATCAATCAAATAACTAATTATAAAATAATTTAAGGCTAATTGAAAGCTCTTATCCTAGCCTATTGCCGATTTTTGCGCACATTGATTTAAAAAAAATCATTGGTTCTGCTATGTTAATAGTTTAGCTAGCAAAACCAATGTTTAAAAGGAAAACAATGTGCGAAAAAATCGGCAATAGCCTATTAGATTAGAACCTTAAATTAGCCTTAAATTATGGTCTAATTAGTTTCGTGATTGAAATTTTTTTGGTTTCCTATTGGTTTGTCATGTTCATCTTGGATTTGGGAAGATGTTTGCAAAAAAATGTGAAAAAAAATCGATAATAGGCTTAAAAAAGAGCCTTTAAGAAGCCATGAATTATGGTGAATATTGATACACCATAATTTAAGGCTATTGTGAGGCTCCCGAGGAGGCTCGTTAGCGAAACACATGATTTTTTCAGAACTGTGCGAAAAAATCGGCAGTAGGCTAGGATTAGAGCCTTGAATTAGACTTTAATTATGGTATAATTAGTTTCGTGATTGAACATTTTTAGTTTGCTTGGTTTGTCATGTTCATATGTTGGATTTGGGAAAATGTTTGCAAAAAATGACAAAAAAAAATCGATGATAGGCTAAATTATGGTGTACTCAATATCCTTATATACATTCTATTTGAGAATTGGTTCTGCTAGAGTTCTGCTAGCATAATAATTGTTAAGCTAGCAAAACCCATGACTAAAAAAAACAATATGCGAAAAAACCAGCAATAGACTAGAATTAGAGCCTTAAAATAGCCTTAAATTATGGTATAATTAGTTTTGTGGTTGAACTTTCATTTACGAAGTGGTTCTGCTAGCTTAACATTAAGCTAGCAGAACCCCCGTTTCTTTGCATAAATCGAAGAGCAATAAATTAGCCTTGAATTATGGTCGAAGAAAAATTCGAAAAATCTAAAGTGCTCTGTTCTCGAACAATCCCAATCAAATATGTACAGTATAATAATAATAATAATAATAGGATTTTATTGTCTCAAACTACACATGTTACAATTTCGGTCAATACGGGTCAATATCAACAAATAGGTACCTACCTATCTAACATAAATGAAATGTGTACGTTATCAATGAAATTGTATCGCGATTTACTGAATTATGAGCTGATAGGTATTTTAAGATTTTTCTACGAGTCGTTACTATTGATTATCTGAAAATCACTGGTATGGTATGTCGAATACAAGGTACATACCGAACACTCTGTATATGGGGTGGGGTCGTTTGAGTGACATTATGACCGACCACCGACCGCAATCGAAAAATACCATTACGATCATCGAAAATGACTCCGTGCGCTGCAGTGTTGCCAGCTTAGCGGTTCTGTCGTTGAATCTAGCGTTTTTAGGATAGGCCAATGTTCAAGTTGCGAAGTTTCCGAATTTCATAATTTTTTACATTTTTGAAACGGATTTTTGGAGATAATGTGAATCGGTAACGATATCGCTAAATCACAAAATGAAGTCTGTTTCAAGAACAAGAGTTCTGCCTGGGGGGTCTCTTTTACTTGCTTTTGCTCGCTAGCGACTTGCGACATTTCCTTTGAAATTGCTGGCAACACTGTCTCGCGGAGATCTGAGAGACTTCTCAAGTCTCCATCAAGTCAGTGTTGCCAAATTAATGCAGGAACTGTTTTGACATCTAGTCTAGTGGAGTAGTGGATGGTGTTTTTTTTCGTAATTTTCTCAAATATATGGCGAAATCTAGTGATTGCTGCCCGTTGAAATTCTAGGGATACGATCTCGGATACGATTGTTTCAGAGCGTGGACGCAGTGAGGTCCTGACTCCGAAATTCCCAATGTTTCATATTGTATGCTCATAGTAGTTGATTTTTAGAAAATTTATACTTATGTCACTAATGTTATGTAGAATCTATTTTCTGTTTCGTTCATTTGTATGTCTACATTTAGTATGAAAGGGGACAGCATAACACCGATCATTCGATTCAGGAAAATGCCCCAAGTCAAGATTCCTACTAGGATAGACTGGGATCAGAATGGGCACTGCATAATACCCACCAAGGGCATACAGATGGCTCTAGGATGGAAGAATGCGCAGGTGCTGGGGTCTATGGGCAGTCCCCAAGGGCAAATCATTACTATACCCTTGGGAAACATGCCACGATTTTTCAGGCTGAAGTATTTGCAATACTTGCATGTGTTCGAGAGAATATCGAGAGGGGCTATCACAGCCAGCAAATCACTATATGCACTGACAGCCAGGCGGCGATCAAGGCGCTCACCTCGTATAGGGTGACCTCCGCCTTGGTGTCAGAGTGCATAGATAGCCTACAAAGGCTGTCAGCAACGAACAAAGTATGTCTTTTGTGGATCCCTGGACACTCAGGGGTACCAGGTAACGAAATGGCCGATGGTCTGGCCAGAAAGGGGGCGAAGGGTTCAGTGATTGGCCCAGAGCCAATCTTAGGGGTCACTCCATCCTGGAGCAACTTCAAGATGAAGGAAATCCTGACGGAAAGGTTTCAGGACAGCTGGAGGAAGGCTCCTCGAATGAGGCAGTTCAAACTCCATGTAGGAAACCCGTCACGAAGACAGACCAATGCCCTCTTGGCTTTGATCAGGAAGGAGCTGAAACTGGTGGTTGCCACCTGAACAAACATCTCAGCATGATCGGGATTGTGGAGGATCCTGAATGCAGATGGTGCCTAGAGGATGAAGAGACTTCTACTCACATCCTCACTGAATGCCCGGCAGTAGTGGCAGCAAGGGATATCCATTTTGGGAGCAGTATCCTGGACACAGAGGCCTAGAAAGTTGGTCTCTTTTGCTCGCGAGATCGGCCTTCTCCATGGCTGACTTGCGATCCCAGGAATGTGGGTGCACAATGGGCCCGAAAAGGGAGGCCTAAGTGCGTCAGGTCCCGGACCGCCCACACACATACACATATGTCTACATTTATATTTTTGAGCTGAAACTCGATTTTCACATTGTAAAAACCAGACTTTTCACCTCACCTCTGACTTTTTTTTATATGTCGTTATCTGTGTCATGCCAAAATTCATTGACCAGTGGTTGACCAGTTAGACTTCCATCATCCAGTATTATTCTAGTAGTCTAATGAAGTTGAAACCACTAAAGAACCATTTTTTTCTCATCAAATTTTGCGGTTTTTGATTGA